GGTTACGGGCTCGTACGACAACACGCTTCTTATGTGGGACTTGAAGACAGGTGTTGTGTTGAAGAAGATGGAAGGACATGACAATGTGGTGCAGGCATTGACTGTATCACGAGATGGACAATTGATAGCAAGCGGTGATAGAGGCGGAAAGGTCATCATCTGGCACGGAGAAACTGGCGAATCACTCACCAAAATCGAGGCCCACTCCCGTTATATCACCTCGCTGGATTTTTCTCCCGATGGAACAGTGCTTGCCACTTGTTCATATGACATAATGACGAAACTGTGGAATACCAAAACTTGGCAGCATCAAGGAGATCCAATAAAGTGTGGTGCATATGCCCGCTGCATACGGTATTCACCGTCTGGAGAACTTCTTGCCATCGCAACAAATTACATTATTGAAATTTACAATTCAGGCACGAGGAAATGCGTTGCAAAGTTCACGGGTCACACTTCATTCAACTTGTCACTCGCGTGGACGCCCGATGGCACACGCCTTCTCACAGGTGGCAAGGGTTCTGATCCTACCATACGTGAATGGGATACAACAACCTGGAAGCAGGTCGGTGATCCCTGGACGGGTCATTCTAATCATATCAATGCCATTGCCATTCATCCTGCTGGTATACTCATTGCATCCGCATCTAGTAATGAACATGTTCGTCTTTGGCAGCTCTCAGATCGACAAACCATTGCCATCCTCAAGTACTCATCCTGCATGGCATGCGTCACTTTCTCCGTGGACGGCAACCACATCCTCAGCGGACGTAAAGATAACACGATCTCGGAGTGGGCAGTACTTCAGGGTACTCATCCAAAGGCATGTCCTCGTCATTGACTCATATACCACAAATCGAGCGTGCTTCTTGCAGACTATTGCCATTACAACAGCCCGCGATGCATACATAGATGGTGACTTATCTACTGATGAAGAACTACCCACAGAAGATATTACCACCGATGCAAACAACCATACTCCCTCAGGCTATGCCCATCGTTCAAAGGCATGTTTCCGTCCTGGATTCATGTATATCACAATTCGAGCATGCTTCTTGCAGATCCTAGCCATCACGACCTCCCGTATTGCATGTGTAAATGGAGACTTATCCACCGCCGAAGAACTACTCACCCAAGATATCAACACCAATCCGAACAACCATACTTCCTACGCTCATCGTTCATTTGTTATGGCGCGAAAACACGATTGGGACCACGCCCTTTGGGATGCGATAAATGTCAGATTTGCTGACCCGTCACCGCTCCCTTATGAATGGCTAACTCAATGGCGACACAGTCCATCAACATTGAGCCCTCATTGACAGGCTACATCTACAAGGGTATTGCCCTCTGCGGAACAGGCCGCATCCCAGATGCGAGGGCAGCATTTGACGTTGCATCCATGTACACGGATGAAGATTCAGAAAACCTCCATTTGCTGCTGTTGATCAAAGTATGTTGCAGTTGCCTTGCATACTCTCCGCTTCATCGTGTTTTAGGCCATCACGCTCTTCAATGCAGATCAACATGACAAGGCAAACCTGCTCATCAAAGAACTCGCCACTGGTTGTCCGAATGCCGACACTGGCGCATGTCGTGTCGTGGAAGTAAGCATCGTGCAGCCACGCTGAGTCATCTGCATTGACGCTAATTTTTGTAACTTGCATATTAGGCATATCTTCGAGTTCAACTTGGACTTGAATCCTTGGATGGCACACGTCACGACGAAGCCGCTGTCCATTTTACTGCCGCTCTCGACTGCCGTGATTCATCATCGAAATCAGACATTCATGAAATTTACGAGGATTTGGTGGTGGTACGTCAACACACACCCGAAATGCTTTTATAACCAAATCCCTTGTTCAGCTCTTTGGCTGGGATCTCAAATCGTTGTGGTTGACTGCACACCAGAAACGTTGCGATGCACTCCTTCTGGCAGGTAAACTTCAAGACACTGTGAGATCATACCGATACATGATGGATGGTATCGACGAAACAACGAGGGCCATCTGCCTTGAATGGTCCAATGGTAAATCTGGAGTTTGCAATGACATGCAGGCTACAATCCTCACTCGCATTTCACTTAGCTTTTACGAAGAAATGCAGCGCACCCCTTCTTACCGGCGGGGATGCTGCCCTCGCTGCAAGCGATTTTGACAGGGCGATTGACTTGTACTCGGTGGTGATCGATCTGGATTCTGGATCCGATGTCGTCTTTGCAAAATGTAGTAAGGCAAAGTTGGGGAACAGGCTATGGGAGGAGGCGCTTCTCGACGCGCAAAAGGTACGATGGCATCCATGATTTCGTAGCCCATTTTGACTTCGGCAATGCATGCACAGGCTATCGAACTCAATCCTTCCTCTCACGTTGGATATGAGTTGACGCATACAGCGCTGCATGGCGCACAACGCTACGACGAAGCCATAGAGGCCTTCAAAATCATGTTGTCCAAGTTGGACGATTCTCCCGATGCTCAGATACGAGGTAAGCCATGGGAAACTTCTGCATGATCTCGAAATGCCTATCTCGTTCTGCAGATCTGCGTCAGCAGTATGTTTGTCCATCTGAAGCAGCAGATGCCATTCAAAGAGCAGTCTGGATCGAACTCGAATATGCCCCGTTGCGTCTACTCAATACTTCCACGGGTATTTTGTGCGATCGAGCAGCCCAAATATACGCCTTCAAAACGAGTGCAGAGTATAAGGAGCTTTTGGCATCCACAACGAGGCATTCAGACCTTCAAGTGGACTGCATCAAGCAAGTGGTAGCAGCATACTTCCGTTGTGTCCTGTTATCACACAGGTGGGAAGAGATGGAGGTGCTGCTGCACGACATTCAGGATAAAGATGTGCGCGAGTTGAAGGAATTTGGCGGGATCGCGAAATTGCAGTCGTTCTGCAAAGTCGCTCGCGATGCTGGGTATCGCTGGGCATGGATGGACACATGCTGCATCGACAAGAGGAGCAACACCGAGGTTCAAGAATCGGTGAACTCCATGTTCGTCTGGTACCGCCATTCAGCGCTTACCATCGTCTACCTATCCGATGTACCCTCTTCATCTGAACCCGGCGCATTAGCGAGGAGTGTCTGGAACCAGCGAGGATGGACCTTTCAAGAGTTCGTCGCTCCGAAAGTTGTATTATTCTATCAAAAGGATTGGTCATTATATCTGAATGATTGCTCTTCCAACCACAAAGAGTCCCCTGCAATCATGAAGGAGTTGGAGGATGCGACAGGAATAGATGCACGGGCCCTGATCTCCTTTCGTCCTGGGATGAGCGACGCTCGACAGAGACTTCAATGGGCGTCATCTCGCGTCACCACATTGCAAGAAGACGTCGCATACTCATTATTTGGGATCTTCAGTATCCACCTACCTGTAATCTATGGGGAGAAGAAGCAGAACGCGCTTGGGCGACTCTTGCAGGAGATCGTGGCTCGGTCAGGAGACATCACCGTCCTCGACTGGGTCGGACAACCTTCCGAGTTCAACAGCTGTCTTCCAGCCCATATCACTTCTTACGCCACTCCTCCACGCACCCTTCCATCCTTGTCCGAAGATGAGATCCAGACAACTATCTCTTCGTTGCGACCAAATCCCATGGCTGTGGAGCTTGCTTCAGAACTCTACCACCAGCTTGATAACACGAGCGCTGCTCGTTTTGCGAACTGCAGATTGCATCTGCCTTGCATAGTATTCCGTGTCACACAAGTCAGTCTGAGCTATAATACGTCCCAGGAGACTCGATATGAAGTCAAGGTAGACGGACTTAATGACCTGGTGATCACCACCCAAAAGCCGATCGTCCAGTCCTTGCGGATAAGGCCCACTCAGCAAACCTTCATGCTCGTCCGTCCCTGGGATCGGTCTCTCCTCGAGTTACAAGACGATGCAGAGAGCGAAGTGGGTGATTGGACGCCGCCCTCGTCTCCGTCTGACGACTCACCTAGCCGTTCTGTTGTAAATCAGGAGGTGGATAACCTAGATTCGCGAGCATTGCGGTTGGTTGTTCGCCTTGGGCAGCCTTTTGGGGCATTTTTACTGGCGCGGCAGCGTAGTGGAGAATACAAAAGGATCGGGTCGGATGGTGATATCATTGCGCAGGTCAAAGATGTGGCTTCTGTCCGAGACCTGATGGACGTCAGGACGATTGAAATACTGTAGATGCATTTTCCTGATTAGGGATCTGAGCGGTTTTCATTGGTACTTGTAAGCACGCTGGCTTACCTGAGTTCTCATAATCAGTACATATACCGTCGCTGATACTGAAACATAAGCTTTCAGTATTTCACCTTTTGGTGTAACGGTTGTGCGCGGCGGCGGTCTGACCATGTTACAGTACTTTCGTATATATCATACTGCATGCATGTGTATTGGACTATAGTTTCCTTTCAGAGCAGACCCTGGAGATGTATCAGATCTGCAACATTTCCACGTGCGATACCACTAGATTAATGTCTCATGCTCATCACCTACCTGCATGCATATTGGTGCTCGGATTCAACTTGCGCTCTAAGTCTCATGACTTCCCGATGTACCATTCTTCGTCTTCTAGAAGTGCGACAAGTTGATGTAGTTATCCGTACTAAGTCAGTGTCAGATGCATTTGATCATCACTAGTAGTAGTACTAATCTCGAAAGCCTGAAAACACGCACTCAGCCACCCCCATTAACGGAACAACAGTCAAACGGAAATCAATAAAATTCGATAAGAAAGAAAACTCACGAACGCAAATCATGCCTTGACAAAAGCTTGGCCGTCAACGTTTCAACTACTAAACCGTGATTTAAAATTCTTGGACAAACTTTTCAGCCTCTACGTCGCGGAATACCAACCCAGAAGATATATACAGATTCCATATCGCGGAGAGGATGATGCTCGTCTGGGATAGACCCAGTCCAGGTCTTAGTTGCACACGGTTTGGTATGGAGTAAAGAGGTTTTCTTACCCCACATAATACCGCCGCTCGTACAATGATGAAGGCAACATCTCATACATTTATTCAAATACAAGATGAGATATTCTCCACTACGTGGTTTACATTCAACCCACTACTACAGCTTTAAAATCTTAATCAAACACCACCACCTTGATCAACGAGTGCTATAAGAAATATCTGAAGCCTTTACGCAGCCCTAGAGCCTGCTCTTCGGCCTCAGCAGCTTCGTTGCACCGTGAAAGGTGCCTCCTGAATACCCAAAGCATCCCAATACACATGGTGGTTGTCAAGATGCATATGCCACATGAGTTCGCGTATGAAGGCCCCCAACGGGACGGCCAAAAGTACCTGCGACGCATCAGCGACACCAAAAAGTAAGAGTATGCCATGAACTAACGATGAACCGATATAACCAAGTGATGACATAGCATTGATTAATGCGATGGCCACAGCGCATTTCGACCGTGATTGGGAAAATGTGTTCATGACCCAGGTCAAAGACACAATATGTGCAACTGGGGCCTGAGCCATAAAGAATCTTCACAGAAAACGTCAAGGCTGTGGAATTGCAGAACGAGAAGATTCGTACAGAGACAGATATCGAACGGCCGCATTCATAGTAGAAATTGCGACCATGAACCCAACGATGGCGACAAATAGAGGACCAGCGGTATGCCAGAAGCGATCGCCGGTAGCATCGGAGTGCCTTGGCTATTGTTAATTCACTGATCAGGACTGGCAAGTAGATACTAACCTAGCCACAAGAAACAATGTTGCAGTTCCCAAAATCCACGGAGGTGCACAGAGCAAGAGGGTGATAGTCGAGTTGTAACCCATTGTAGCAGATAGTGTCGGAAAAAAAATGCGGAAAGATAAAGAAGCCTCCATCAGAATAAGAGCAGCACCGAGCCACCATACTCTCCAATCTGTAAGTGCATCAATAAGGCCAGACCAACCCTCCACGGGCGTGCCTTTGTGCTCATTCCTGACCGTAACTTCCTCCTCCATCCGTAGTCTGGCCAGGACCCGTTCATCAGGTAAAAGCCAAACACTCGACGATGACGGAAAGTCTGGCAAAATCCATATTGCAGACACTGCAACCACAACTGTCAAAATTCCTTCCACAAAGAAGAGCCACCTGCAGCACAGTCAGAGCAGTTCTACTTTGAGAGCATGCATATTTCGCCTCTGACCTCCAACCCGCAAAACCTAATGTACCATCTAGACTTGCCAAAATTCCCGACGCTGTAAGAGCACTGAAAGCATTACTAATTGGGCTACCGCAAGCCAGAAGTGCTGTGCGGTACCCCAGTTCATTTCGCTTGTACCTAGAGAATTTTCAGGATATATTGTTCGAAGGTATTGGGCAACTATACCATCGTGAAAGAAGGAAGATAGCTCCAGGAAAGAATGCCGCCTCAACAACTCCAACCATGAAGCGCAAGATAAGAATGTCATGATACCTAAAGCGACGTTAACTCCAGAGCGCCAAAAGTAATAGATACTAACGTTTGTGCTACGCCTTTTCATGACCCTCGTCAGGCAGTATTGATTAGGCGAATGATGCACGTACCGATAAACAGGGTGATAGCACCACATATTGCCATGCAGTTTGAGAGGTATAGCGATGGCCTTGTCATGCGAACTAAGAACATGTTGCTTTTGAATTCTCAGACGGGCCACAGAAAGGATAACGTGCTAGTACATACGAAGGAGTTTGTGTCAACAAATACCCCACGTAAAAGATGCTCATGAGTGTGTTAAACTGATTCCCCGTCATACCAAGGTCCTCCTCAAAACCACGCAACCTTGCTGCACTGTTTTGACCGAGAAGCAATTGAGCCACATTACTCCAATGGTGAGTTCGAAAGGCTACGTACGCTGCATTAGTACGGTCCATCTGTGCAATAAATTAATGCAATAGCGGAAACACTAGAAACACCAACTCACGCAGCTCATGATGTACATCAGAATCAGGAAGGCAAATCGAAGGTCTAACTTGCGGAGGAGCCTCGTCTCCACTGTCTGTCTGTTCTGTTCATCGTATTCAGAAAGTACCGGACTATCACTGCTTCTGTCAGAGGCACCGTAGTGGGAACTATTGTCTGTGCTGAGCAAAGGGCGATCTGACATTCCTATGGAGTATGGACAGAAGAGACCACAAATAGCAGATTCCCGCTAGCCCGTCAGCACACCGGAATCCGGATGCCTTCAGGTTCCGATTCATGACTACTTCGGAGCCTATGCGACTCTCGAACTAGTACATATACGGTGTCAATGAAAATAACCCATATTGATGGCGGCATCGGAAGCGAATACCATTTCTGGAACGTATGCTCGCCCTCGCTGACTAAGCCGCCCTGTCATTTATCATGGACATGGAGGCGAGGCAGAAAGGATGTCTACATGACTTCCAACTCGAGCAGATGACTATCATGATGACCTTTAGTATCATGAACAGTCAGAATTTTCATGATACGGTAACCCCTGCAGTAAAGGGGTATCACGTTATTTATTTTGAAATATTAATATTGGGAGGGACTCTGAGAGCCTTTGAATTCAACAAGCACAAACAACGCGTCGTTTGGAACCCTCATGTCCACAGCATACACCTTCCAGTCTCCGTCCGTCACGCTCGAAAAAGGCGCTTACCGGATGCGCGCACCACACAGCACGCGACCAGGTTCTTCTCTCAGCCAAAGCCTCATGACCGCCAAACAATCGCCATCCCATTCCCCAAACAGAAAGCTCGCGATCCTCGTCGCAGTACTAGCTTTCGCATCAGTAACATGCTTTTTCTTCGCGTATCATTTATTCACCACCAGGTTCGCTCCCTATGCACAACCGCACCCGCACCGCGCTGACGCCCTCCCAAAAGCAAACCCACCCGCTCCTGACACCAAATACCTCTCCTACTTCCCCCATAGCGGATTACACAACCAACGCATCGCACTCGAGAATGCCCTCGTACTCGCTAAAGCACTTAATCGCACTCTTCTTGTTCCTTTTCTAAGGCTTGGAAAACCAATTCGATACGTTTCATTTGAAAAACTAAGACGCTTCCTCGTGCTTGGGTCTAAAACTGGGCTTGAACACTGTCCACTGGTCCCTATCGGCATACCAGCCCCCGAAGAATGTTCAGGGTACGAAGAGTGGACTTCCGTCCCATGGGATCACTTCGTCGATCTACAAGGAATAGGAGAGAAAATCGGAGTAAGGATGATTCAATGGGACGGAAGCCCAGCAGCACAATATTTGAAAAAGTTTCATATCAATATCTTCGACGCGGATACGTTGACGTTGCAAGACTCCGGACCTTACGATTTTCGGTTCTTGGACACGCTTGATGATGTATCGCCTACGCGGGACAAGTATCTCTATTCCATCTACATTCCAACACTTGCTCAGGCGCCCGAGAGATTGGTGCAGATCGGAACGTTGTTCGGCTCGTCGAGGCTTAGGCTAAGACAGGATGCGAGTAAGAGCGTGCGGAAAGACGTAAGGAGCGGAATGGCGTTCACGAATTCACACCTGTCTCCTGTGGCCGATACGATATATGAAGCCTTAGGCACTGTCTATATTGGTGCCCATCTTCGTGTTGGGGACGGTCAGTTCGAACAACGAAGCACCGATAATGCAAGAACCATCTGGTGGAAACTCGTACACCTTGTTTGTGGACTAGATCTAGAAGAAACTCTGGCGCTCGAACAGCAGCTTAGTCCTTTCGACGAGGACCTCGATCCGCCGTTTATTCAACCGGATGTACCGAGTCTCAGGGTACCTCATCCGCCTTTGCCTCCTCTGCCACATACATTCAAACCCAAGATCCGATGTCGTGCACCTCTGCATACTTCAGCACCATTGCAAAGACTGAACGCTCCTCTGTACATTGCTACTGACTCCCCGAATCCTGCAGCAGACCCACTGTTTTCCATTTATCTTCAAACTTTCCCTTGTATATTCTTCCTGTCTGATTTTACATCCCGCTTGACTCCTCTCGACGCGTTAATCAATCCGTATGACCAGGTCTTGTTAAAGGGATTTTTGATGCCGGTGTTGGACGCGATGGTGTTAGCTAGAGCGAGAGAGGTCGTTATCACGGATGGAAGCACTTTTGGGGCGTTTGTGAAGGATGTGCTGTGGAGGCGGCATTGGGGATTTGAAATCGTGCAGAGGGGATGAGTATTAGTGCTAGAATGCACGTCGAACAAAACTGATCTAGTATTGTCCAGTCACGCACTTAGGTGCACGTCTCAGATATACCTTACCCCAAATCGTATCTCACCCGAATCCAACGTACTAGTGACTGGATAACTTCATGGTTCCTCGGTAATTTCAAGAAACAGAATATCAAGAGCATGACGCTACCCGCATAGATTGGTGCTACTGTTCTGATCAAAGATGCTCACCCCGGTCACCTTTCTTTGGCGCCGACGCCTGATCTCTGATAATACCTAGATTGGTACTAGTAGTACGAATCGGTCAAAGACTGTCTTCCTTCCATTCGAAGGTCGACTAAGGGGGTAAGCTAACATGAGGTTCCTGGACGGACGGATCCGTCGGAGATGTCACTAGCGCAGCGCTTTGCAAGGGGATAAGGACTGTATGTAATTGACGGTTGATTTGGGTATGAGTATGACATACGGGTACTTTTTGAACACCGCATCATGCATTGAACTACATAGCGGTCTTTAAATTTCACCCTCACATTTCTCAACTTATCTATATAATCAATCATCGATATCTCGCTTCACTGCTTATATTCTCACCATTGTCTTCACTCTGGACAGTCATTAGTACGCCCTTGTTGTTCGTGAGTCATGCACAGCCAGGGCGCACAAGTATCCTACTTTGTCGATAGTGCACAACGGACCCGGCTAGCGTGACTCCTTGTTGTCATGATTTGAACTTTGTGGAGTCATGGTCCTGCCGTTTGCTTTCCTCGCTTATATATAGGCACATTTGAATCTTGGTTCTGATTCACCCTTGAATTTGATACCAATGTCCACAGAGGCATGTTCACTCCCTCCTCCGTCCGATGAGCAAGCGTACATGTACGTATCTGCCCTTGAAGCCGGACACCTCATTGTTCCTTTGAGTCTAATGGTAGCTGATCAATCGGAGGATCCCATATCGTTTCCCTCACTCGCATTCCTACTGCGTCATTCGAAGAGCAATAAGCGAGTTGTTTTCGACCTAGGAATCCACAGGAACATCAAAGAATTTGCGCCTGCTGCAATATCAGTAGTGCCTGATGTGAAGCAGACCGCAGCAGAGTCTTTGGAGGCTGGTGGAGTCCCCCCTTCATCAGTTGACTTGGTAGTCCTGAGTCACCTCCATTGGGATCAGTGAGTAGCTCAGCGTCCGAGGTGGTATGAATTGCCTAACCTGTTCCCCAGCGTCGGAGATCCCTCCCCGTTTACGAGTGCTGAGTTTATCCTCGGGGAAGGATCGAAGCAAGCTTTTTTGGACCCTGGTTCCTGTCACAGTCCCATATCATTTTCATTCATTCGTCCACCAGAAGATCGTCTACGCTTCGTCACAGCTTCTGACCTAAACGTGGCAATCGGTCCCTACCCGCACGCAATGGACGTTTTCGGTGATGGCAGCATGTACATCGTTGATGCATCTGGTACTTCTTTACTGCATGCACAAGACTGGAAAAAAGTTACTTAGGCTTGTTTATTGCAGGGCACGCTGACGGGCATATCAACATCCTTGCGCGCACTTCCCCGGATGGCGCTTGGATCCTGTTAGGCGCAGATTCAGCTCACCACCCTGATTTGATCACTGGGAAGATGCAAATTGCGTGTCATGTCGATGCGAAAACGGGCGCGGTGACATGTTCCCACCAGTACAAGGAAGTCGCGGAGGAAAACATTCGCAGAATGAGGTCGTTGTTAGAGATCCCGAGGGTGCAGGTTCTGGTAGCACATGATATAGTTTGGTATGAAGAAAACAAGAGTAAAGAAGTTTTCTTACCACACACAATACCGCCACTCGTATAATGATGGATGCTATAGGAATCATGCCATGGTAGATGCCATGCATTTGTAAAGTACAAGCAATTGCATATATTCTCCACTACACGCAACGTAGTTGATAATCTGGAGGAGCGCAACTCGCATTAATGTATTTTGGTCGACTGTGTACATGTTAATAATCAGACCCGCTCCCATAATTTCACCCAACAAAGTATAACCGTTACTGAACCTGAGCAGCGACTCGAAGTGCTATAGGAGATATCTCAAACCCTTGGGCAGCCCCAGGGATTGCTCTTCAGCTTCAGCAGCTTCATTGCACCGGGAAAGGTGCACCCTAAATACCCATAACATCGCAATAGATACGATGCTTGCCAAGATACAAATGAGATACGAGTTCACGTATGAAGGTCCCCAACTAGATGGCCAGAAGTATCTGTGACGGCGTCAGCAGTAGCATATATCATGAGGTTACTGTAAACTGACGATGAAACGATCACGCCGCTTGATGCCATGGAGTTTATGAGTGCAATGGCTGCAGCGCGTTTAGACTGTGATTGGGAAAAGGTATTCATGATCCAGGTCAATGCGACAACATAGGCAACTGGGCCCTGAGTCATCAAGAATCTTATCGGTGCGCGTAAGTCACTAGAATCGCAGAACGTGGATGGAAGAGTTCGTACAAGGATATATATCGCAAAGTCGTATCCATGGTTGAAATTGCGAGTATAAATCCAGAGATGCTGACAAGTAGAGGACCAACAATGTGCCAGAATCGATCACCGGTTACATCGGAGTGCCTTGACTCAGTATTGTCAATTCACCTATCGGACCTGTGAAGCGAATACTGACCTGGCCACAACAAATGAGGTCGAAGTTCCCAAAATCCACGGAGGTGCACAGAGCAAGAGGCTCGTAGTCGCGTCGTAACCCATTGTAGCGGCTAGCGTCGGGAAGTAAATACTGAATGACATCGAGGAAACCATCACGCTAAGGGCAGCACCAACCCACCACACCCTCCAATCCATAAGAGCGTCGGCAAGACCAGAATAATCTCCTCCGGGTTCACTCTTGTGCTCATTTTTGGTCGCGACTTCCTCCTCCATCCGTTGCTTGGCCAGTATCTGTTCGTCAGGCAGAAGCCAGGCGCTCGGCGTTGAAGGAAAATCAGGTAAAATCCAGCCCGCAGACACCGCGACCACGATGGTCAACGCGCCTTCCACAAAAAAGAGCCACCTGCAGCAGGAAAATCAGAACAGTTTAACTTTTTGAAAGCACGCGCATCTCGACTCAGACCTCCAAGCCGTAAAACCTAGTGTACCGTCTAAGCATCCCAAGATCCCTGATGCGAAAAGAGCACCAAAAGCATTACTAATCGAGGCCCCGCAAGCAAGAAGTGCTGTACGCAACCCTAGTTCATTTTTCTTGTACCTGAAGAAATTTCAATATATGCTGTTCAGAGTCACTGGACAATTATACCATTGTGAAAGAAGAAATACAGCTCCGGGAAAGAATGCTGCCTCCACAAACCCAATAAAGAAGCGCAAAATAAGAGCCGCATGATATCTAGACCAGCGTTAAGAGAGGACAGCGGTAAAGATCTAGGTACCAACGTTTGTACCGCACCTTTCATGGCCCCTCATTAGCCAATGTCGATAAGGTGGACGTGTTACGTACCCATGAAGATTGTGAGAAAACCCCATATTGCCATGCAGCTCGAGAGGTATAGTGATGGCCTTTTCATGCGATGTAAGAGCATGTTGCTTTGGAATTATCAGATGGCGCAGAGTGATAAGGTGTCGAAACATACGAAGGAGCTTGCGTCAACAAATACCCCACATAAAGGATGCTGGTAAGTGTGTTAAATTGAGTCCCAACCATGCCAAGGTCCTCCTCGTAACCACGCAACCTCGCTGCACTTGCAAGTGGGCAGCTAAGTAACTCTACTCCACGCAATTTCGAAAGGTCACGTACGCTGCATTAGTACGGTCCATCTGTGAAGAGATTTTAGGTAGTTAAGGGAACACGAGGTACACCAACTCACATAGTTCATAATGTAAACCAGAACTAGGAAGGCTACCCGAAAGTCCAACTTACGGAGAAGCCTCTTCTCCACAAGTGAGCTGTCGATGTAATCCAAAACATTGTCATCACTGCTGCCAGAGAGATCGTATTGGGAACCGTAGTCGACCGCAGCAAGCAGGGGGCGGTATGACGCTCCTGATGATGATGGCTTCCATCTCTGCAACCAAGGATCGATATATGCGTAGAGTCTTCCGGGTTTAACCATGATAATATCGAGTTGGAGATTAATACCCGTACTTAAGCTTCCAAGTTGAACTTCGGAAAAATAACTTTACCACGTCATGACTTTACGGCAGTTAAGGGATGACGGTCGCTGAGTCCGCCGCGGCGCTGCCCCCGGAAGCAACTTTAATATCAAACGTCGATTACCGTAAGTTACTATGTAATATCTACGTTAGGGAAGTGCCAACGATTGCTTCCGACCTCGCTGCGTGCGAATCAGACCCTCTGCGAGTACTATGTATCTTGCATAGTACGCATCACGCTAACATGACTCTGCTTCACAACCTCAAGAGACAAAGGCTTCCCTTATCCATTGTCCCAGTTACTTCGCCGCTGGGTCCTCCGAGGCGGCGACGCCTTGATTCTCTCGTTTCTTGGACACACCTTCAAGTTTCCTCTGAGTACTTAAGCAGACTACTGTGTCATTCGTGATTCATTCCATTGTTGATACTGAAGTTGCTGATTGGTATCTCGAGGTCGGTGTCTTCTTTCTGTGCGACTGTAATTCTCGCCATCATGTACAGATCAGCGGGTCAACAGCAAGTCTTCTGCGCAATTCTCACATCAATCCGACCATAAAAGTCGATGCCATAAAACAAGTACCATCATCATCATGATAGAGCTCTCTATCGCCAATTTATGACTCGCCAAATAATATATTTTATTTGTGTGCCCTGGGGTCCATCCATCCATATTTAACTGACAGGATCCTACTATCAGTTGCCAACCATACCCTAGAGAAGATATCTAAAACCCTCAGGTAGCCCTAGAGCTTGCTCTTTGGCTTCCGCAACTTCATTACACCGGGAAAGGTGCTCCTTAAATACCCAGCACATCGCAATGGATACGATACCTGCCAAGATGCAGATGAGATACGAGTTCACATATGAAGGTCCCCAACTGGACGGCCAAAAGTATCTGCGACAGGGTCAGTACCAGCTACAGCACGAGGTTGATGTGAACTGACGATGAAGTAACGAAGCCAGTTGATGCCATTGTGCTTACTAGTGCTACGGCCGCAGCGCGTTTAGACTGTGATTGGGAAAAGGTATTCATGACCCAGGTCAAAGCGACAGCATAGGCCACTGGACTCTGAGTCATGAAGAATCTGCGTGGAGCCCGTAAGCCCCTGGAATCACAGAAGGAGGAAAGAAAGGTTCCCACAGTGACAAATATCGCATGCCCGTATTCATTGTAGAAATTGCAATAATATACCCAGCGATTCCAACGAGTAGAGGACCGACAATATGCCAGAAGCGATCACCAGTTACGTCGGAGTGCCTTGATTCACTATTGTTAATTCGCCTATCGGACCTGCTGAAGTAAATACTGACCTGGCCACGACAAATGAGGTTGCAGTTCCCACAATCCACGGAGGTGCGCAGAGAAAGAGGCTAGTCGTCGCGCTGTAACCCATTGTAGCGGATAACGTTGGGAAAAAATTGGTGAATGATGTCGAGGAAATGATCAAATGAAGAGTAACACCAAGCCACCATACCCTCCAATCCATAAGAGCCTCGGCAAGACCAGAGAAGTTCCTTTCGGGCTTGCCTTCGTACTCAATTCTAGTCACAACTTCTTCCTCCATCCGTTGCTTGGCCAGTGTTTGTTCTTCTGGCGAAAGCCAGAGGCTCGGCGTTGAAGGAAAATCGGGTAAGATCCAGATTGCAAACACTGCGATGGTGAAGGTCAAAGCGCCCTCCACGAAGAAGAGCCACCTGCAGCAGAAAAATCAGGACAAATTTACTTTTTGAAAAGCACGCGCATTTCGGCTCAGACCTCCAAGCCGGAAAACCTAGTACGCCGTCTAAGCTTGCTAAAATTCCTGACGCAATAAGAGCACTAAACGCATTACTGATGGAGTTGCCGCAAAAAAGAAACACCGTGCGCAACCCTAGTTCATTGCGCTTGTACCTAGGGAAATTCCAGTATAGCATAATGTTATGATGTATTGAGATATCATACCATCGTGACAGAATGAATATAGCTCCGGGAAAGAATGTCGCCTCCACAAATCCAATAAAGAAGCGCAAGATAACAGCCGCACGATATCTAGAGTGGTATTAACAATGGACAGGATTAAAAAATAGAGACCAACGTTTGTACCACACCTTTCATGATCCCTCGTCAGCCAATGTCGATCAAATGAAAGCTGTGCGACGTACTCATACACATGGTGATGGCAGCCCATGTCATCATACAGCTCGACAGGTATAGTGATGGCCTTTTCATGCGGTGTAAAATCATGTTACTTTCAAGTCACTTTTCAGATATGCGGCCGCAGGATGATAAGGTATTGGAACGTACGAAGGAGCCTGCGTTAACAAATAACCTACATAAAGGATACTGATAAGTGTATTAAATTGATTCCCAGTCATGCCAAGGTCCTCCTCGAAGCCTCGCAGCCTCGCCGCACTTGTAGATCACTAGGTGGTCAAGCCATTTGATGTTTTCGAAGGAACACTTACGCTACATTAGTACGGTCCATCTGCGCAGGGATTTGAGGTAGTTACAAACAGTAGGTGTACTCGCGACTCACGATGTTCATAATGTAAACCAGAACTAGGAAGGCTACTCGAAGGTCCAATTTGCGGAGAAGCCTCCTCTCCACGGTTGATCTGCCAATGTTATCTAGAGGAAGAGTTGGACCGTCATCACTGCTTCCGCTAGAGGTAGCATCGTAGCGGGGACTGCAGTCGACTGAACCAAGCAGGGGAAGATTTGACATTCCTGTGAATAAGAGAGATTCGGAGCTCCTAGATGTGTTAGCCTGCAGTTTTATGGTCGGTAACCGAGCAGTATAATGCAAACCCGCCGTGGTAAACACTAGACGAATCGGACAAATGGTAACAAAACAAACCCATAGATTTTACATAGAACATGATACAAATAACCAATGTAGTAGATAAGAAACCGCGGAGTCTGCGATAATCAAATGAGCAAAGCGGCCCGGGCATTACAATCCGAACAACCACGTGACCAAGTGCATACCAAGGCCGGCCGTTTCAGGAACGCCCTCATCTCACCCAAGTATTTTCTACTTCATCTGACGAGTTCTTTCTTTCCTGCATTTGTTGTTTCTTTTTCGTTTAATGTCTTCGAGTTTTTCTTTACGTCTTTTTTGTTCGTAGTTTGCAGGTCACTTAGGAAAAAGTGACCTGCAAAAAGACATAATTACTTATGTTTGCTTTTTTTCTTAATCTTCTCTTGCCGTCGCCTTTTTGAAAATTGACCGGGTTATGGTACTTTGTTGAATTATTAGTCTTTTTATATTCGTCCTGTTCGCCTCCACCCCACCCATTCCTTCACTCCTGACCTGTCTTTTTCGTTTGCCAATTATCAACTTAGGCATGTATCGCATGTATCTCACCTTGTATCTGCTGACGACCCATATTTCATTCTGTATTTATTAGGATTAGGATGCACACACTCGCTTGTTCGCCATTGTGCATGATCATGCACACTCCTTCGTTCTCCGTTTCAAGCAACCACCGTCACTCTCGCTCGTGCCATGAAACGTGCCGTTCACACTCACTATTTTTTTGATCTTATCAGTACCGGTCTCTACGTCACCTTGGAACAGTTCTTCACGGATGGAGGAAATTCTTCCTTCAACAAATGGCAGATTTATCTCTGATTATCCCTCTCCCAACCAGCTATTCGCTCCTCAAACTCATCGACGAGATTGATCTTTTATCTACCCGTGCATCCATCCCATTCCGTGAACCACCAAACTGGATCAGCACACATTCATTAACTTCGCATTCAAGCGTGTACCGTCACCGCCCCTTTGTCACCGCTTTCGTTCCTACTGCCTCCGTTCCTGTCTAAGTCACTGATCGTTTTTTCCTCGTACAGCAACTCCCAGGTCCCTCCTCTTTTGTACAAGTGCCCCTTTCTTCCCTTCTTTGTACATCCTCCCACTTTCTTTGTACGACTGCCCTCATCGCCACATACCTCGATCGTGTTTTATGACAAGGAATCAGGTACGACGCATGTACTTTTGGTCGTATTTGTACTAATCAGTGTGCACATGAATCAGAAAAAAGGTTTTACTGATAATCAGAGCGGATTCAAACAAGATTAAAAAAAAACTTTACTAACCTTGAGAGAAAATTAATGTCTGTTATGATGGCAACCTCAGTGAGTGCTGTTCAAGCCTGTGTTAGAACAATGGAGTGATTTCATAATCCCTCTAGATGCTGTATTTCGAAGATCACACCAGCTAGCCATGGTGGCACGTTGCCAAACTTAATCACGAACAGTTCGATCTTTTGCGGCGTTCGAATATTCTGCGCGCTAATCGCTGCTTTGCGACTTTATTTAACAACTTCCATGTTGATTTCATCGATAAGGCCTGGATACACGTTCCCTTGCTAATTAATTCATCGTGAAAGTTTGGAATACTGCTTTGGCAATCTAGGCGCTGGATGGTGGTATATCAAGCACGAATGCAATCGTTATATATCCACCAAGTTCCCCGACTCGCTCACACTCATCCTCTAATAGTATGACCCAAGTCTCGAATGATCCCAGTTGGTGGCCAGTCATCAATGGAAATCTTATTAGCAGCTATTTTATAGGTTTGTTCAGAGCCAGCTGCATGATGACCGTAATGACTCGATTAACTTTTGGCTGCGGTTTTGCAGTTGCCTCCTTTGCTGGGGTAATGTATGATTGGGGTGAGCAACATAACGCATGAAAAGATCACTAACATGAGATTTTTAGGACTTACGTTCGGACAAGAGGTAGGTCGACACCTTTGCAGGAGCAGTCACCTCGCTGATAACAGTTTTATAGGTCGAACTGGTCTGGGTGAGCGCACTCCCACATCAAAAGAACGATATGGAAATAACACAACTAATTTACGGCAGAGGCAGCGTTGGTCCCTGATGACCGTTCTGTATTTTGTTGTATGTATAGTAGTTTGTGTTTCAAGTGTGGTTAGCAAGTTGTACTGACGTGAACATATTTAAGGCACGTTATGTTGCAGTAGGGCACGCTGTGTAGGTTTCGACGTTCAAGCCATTGGTATTATGCTTATCAATCATTTCTCACCATCAGGATCAACATATTGTGTATGTCTCCTCGCATAGACTCTGTTTCTTTCTTGTGACGGGCGGCATACAGTCAGTGTTCCAACAATTTCGGTGACAGATGCAGTGAGTATTCCACATCAATGCCTTCCATTCCCGTCAGAACGACTGAACTCCCATGTAGGGGTGAGTGACATTCTCGAACAACTCGTTGGTTCAATATAACGACACCCACAGTTGTGAGTTTTTTGACCCTGCGAATCCCCAAAGCTGAGAACTAATCGAGTTACTGGATTCAACGTCAGGCCTCATCATATTCAATGCACTTGATTGGACGGACGAGGTTGTAAATATAATACTGGGCGGTGAGCATTACACCTCCATGATTTGACTTGACTGAGACACCATGCAAGTCATCATGATTACTCGGTTGCATGCCATGTATCAGCGATCTAGAAAGGTGCTGATATTTCTCGTTGTCATTTTTCTGGCCACCAGAATCGCCAATGTAGTGATGGGCGCAATAATGACGATGGATACTTCAGGAGGTAAGCTTTCATTATGTATGAAATATTTAAGTGCATCAGGCTCATTGACAAGTACCAGAGGAATTCGTTCTCTCAGGCACCTATCTGTGTCTGACTGAGTATGCGGGAGATTCCCCATTTTTGTCTTGCATGACTTGGGTACTTGCCACTGTATGGGAGGTCATTGCACTGTGTCTCGCAGTCTGGATTGCTGTGAAGCACTTCCGTGAACTGCGACAGCACTCGTCAGGAGGTATTATCGGGGATTGTTTTACGGTGTTGCTGCAAACTCACGTTAGTTACTTTGTGAGGTGAGCTCATAATTTAAATGCGGTTGTCTTCGCCCACTCACGTTCTTCACGTGCTAGCTTTTTTGCTGTTGCCTGCTTCCGTATTGGTTTATTCTCTCCAACGCTCATAGCGGTATGCTGACCTGTCACCAACCTCTACATGTGACCATGATTCATCATTTCTATAGAATGCATTTTCACTGGACGTTCAAATTTACTATGGTTTTACTCAAATCTTCGTCATTGCGCAGCTGTCTGTGCTAGGACCACGCCTCATTCTTGGCGTTCGAGAATACCACGCCAAGCTCGTGGCCGACTCTGATACAGCAACCGCTATGACTTCAATTGCTTTCGAAGAAAGAGTCCACGTGGAAACTAACAGTAGTGTGTAACATGGGAGTTGTTCAATATGATTGACACTTGTCGGGTATTAGTCTGCAGAATGCACGAAATTCCTTTGTATTTATTTCAAGTTTCGTCGTGGTCTTTTTAAATATTTACTACAAGCGAGCCGTTTACCTTCGGACGTTTACTTTGATAATGCCGTATTTGAAGGGCGACTCACTGAGCAGAAACATGGATGAGAAGAGGTGCGTCAGTAAACTACAACTGTTTGATGCAAAGCACTGTGGGCTTTCCATAGATTACTGTGTCATTCATGATTCGTGGTGATGCATTGTCAACACTGAAATTGATTCGTGTCTGCCACTGTCTGGAGGTTAGTGTGTTCTTTCTGCGCGAAAGAATACCATTATCATGAACCGGTCAACAGTTAGCCTTCTGCGCAATTATCACATCGATCCGACAACAAAAGTCAAAACAAGTACGATGGAGCTCTCCGTCATCAATTTAGAACTCACTAAATAAGATATCCCGAATATATTATTTGTGTGCTCTGGTATACATTATACATTCTCACTAACGGAATCCTATCCATGCGTTAGAGGAGATATCTAAAACCCTCGGGTAGTCCTAGAACTTGCTCTTCGGCTTCAGCAGCTTCGTTACACCGGGAAAGGTGTTCCCTAAATACCCAGAACATCGCAATGGACACGACGCTTGTCAAGATGCAAATAAGACACGAGTTCACGTATGAAGGACCCCAACTGGACGGCCAAAAGTATCTGTGACGGCGTCAGTACCAGCTAGAGCACGAGGTCGCTTTGAACTGACGGTGAAGTAGCGTTGCCAACTGATGCCATGGTGTTTATTAGTGCGATGGCTGCAGCGCGTTTAGACTGTGATTGGGAAAAGGTATTCATGGCCCAGGTCAAAGCGACAGCATAGGCGATTGAGCTCTGAGCCATAAGGAAACTGTGTGGAGCACGTGAACCCGTGTAATCACAGGAGGAAAGAAAGGTTCCCACAGTGACAGATATCGCATGCCCGTATTCATTGTAGAAATTGCAATGATAAACCCAGCGATGCCGACCAGTAGAGGACCGGCAATATGCCAGAAGCGATCACCAGTTACGTCGGAGTGCCTTAATTCACTATTGTTAATTCACCTATCGGACCTGCGTGAAATAAACACCGACCTGGCCACAACAAACGAGGTCGCAGTCCCCAAAATCCACGGAGGTGCGCAGAGAAAGAGGCTAGTCGTCGCGCTGTAACCCATTGTAGCGGATAGTGTCGGAAAAAAATTGCTGAATGATATCGAGGAAATGATCAAATGAAGAGCAACACCAAGCCACCATACTCTCCAATCCATAAGAGCCTCGGCAAGACCAGATAAGTTCTCTTCGGGTTTCCCTTTGTGCTCAATTTTAGCCACAACTTCTTCCTCCATCCGTTGTTTGGCCAGTATCTGTTCATCGGGCAAAAGCCAGACGCTCGGCGTTGAAGGAAAATCGGGTAAAATCCAGATTGCACACACTGCAGTGGCGATGGTCAAAGCGCCCTCCACAAAGAAGAGCCACCTGCAGCGGAAAAATCAGAACGATTTGACTTTTGAAAGTATGCGCATTTCAGCTCAGACCTCCAAGCCGTAAAACCTAATACACCGTCTAGGCTTGCTAAAATTCCTGACGCAATAAGAGCACTAAAAGCATAGCTGATGGAGGTGCCACAAAAAAGAAATGCTGTGCGTAACCCTAGTTCATCGCGCTTGTACCTAGAAGAACTTCAGTGCCTGCGGTTAGTATGTATTGAAATGTTATACCATCGTGAAAGAAGAAATATAGCTCCAGGAAAGAATGCCGCCTCTACAAATCCAATAAAGAAGCGCAAAATAAGAGCGGCATGATATCTAGAGTAGCGTTAACAGTGGACAGCATTAAGAGGTCTAGATACCAACGTTTGTACCGCACCTTTCATGATCCCTCATCAGCCAATGTCGATCAAGTGAAAGCCGTGTGACGTACTCATACACATGGTAATAGCAGCCCATGTTATCATACAGCCCGAGAGGTATAATGATGGCCTTTTCATGTGGTGTAAGACCATGTTGCTTTCAAATGATTAGATATGCCACAGGACGATAAGGTGTTAGTACATACGAAGGAGCCTGCGTGAATAGATACCCCACAAAGAAGATGCTGGTGAGTGTATTAAATTGATTCCCCGTCATTCCAAGGTCCTCTTCGAAGCCACGCAGTCTCGCTGCACTTGTAGGTGGTTAAGCCATTTTATCCTAAATGTTTTCGAAAGCCCACTTACGCTATATTAGTACGGTCCATCTGCGCAGGCGTTTTAGGCAGTCACGGGAAAAGTAAGTGCGCTGACGACTCACGATGTTCATAATGTAAACCAGAACTAGAAAGGCTACCCGAAGGTCTAACTTACGGAGAAGCCTCTTCTCCACAATTGGTCTATCAATGTCATCTAGAGGCAAAGTCAAACCGTCATCGGTGCTTCCGCTAGGGGCGGCATCGTAGCGGGAACTGCAGTCGACTGAACCAAGCAGGGGAAGATTTGACATTCCCGTGAATGAGAGAGATTTGGAGCTCCCAGATGCTGTTAGCTCGCAGTTTCGTATGTCGGTAGCCGAGTAATACAGGACCCTGTGCCGTGGTAGAAATGTCAAGCCTTTTCCGGATCCATATTCGGAGCCTAACCGCTCCCAAGTTGATATGACCTTATTCGACCTTTCACAGCACCAGTGATGTGACTAGTCTGACGGACTCTGACCTGCCAGATCAAGCCAGTGTCAGGATCATGATCATGATGGACCTGCAATTGAATAGCCCTTTGACAAGTTAGGCTGCGAGTTGTGAGGTCAATCGCATGCGGGAATTGAAATCTGGCGTATTTATTAGATGCATCATAGCTGTGCATGCAACATGCAGACAATTGGCAGAATGAGGGAAAGAGCCGATCCACCGGTCTGCCAACTGCAGTACTGCGACAAAAGGGCATCCTAACGCTTCATCCCGGAGTCCGTGTCATTACACCTGCTCGTTGAGTATATATATATAATGGAACATATGGAAAAGCGAATGGAAAGTGTGTGTTGACTAAGCATTAATTTTGTCTTAAAAAGTGTCGTTGGTCGTACCGAAGGCCACATCTAGTTCGCGTTCAGTCTTTTCCATTCTCTCTCGCAGGGGCCGTTGCAATTAATTGCCCATACTTTGAAGTCTGATCTGTCCATGGGTCGTCAGATACAAACTACCAACTTAACAACAAGTCTTCTACATGCCCTCTCTCGAATCCTTCGACTAGTTGAAAAATCAGACATGGTCATCATTGTTAAACTGAGCTCTTCATCGTCAGTTTATGACCAGCGTGACAACAGGTTCGCACTAAACGCACCAACACATGTGTGACCGTCCACCCAAACTGGTATTTTTTCAGGCAACTTTGCAACTTTTGGCCCACTCATCGTTCCTTCCCATGGTCCCTTGAGACTGAAAAGCTGTTCCAATGGGTGAATCGTGATGCATCGATGCTGGGTCGTATATCATATATCAAGCTTTCCAATCATTCTCATCTCACGCCATCCTCCCTTCGCGTCGAGTTTGTTCGGGGCCTTAACTGAAAACCCTCTCCTGTTCGTTGCGCCTCCCGATATGGTCAATTGCCAATTGGCAAGATTCACAAGTGATCGAGGACTGGAGCGCGATATCACATTTGTCATGCTAGGATTATACGGGTGTGTTTTTTCTACGTGCCACCTCCACTGAAGCTCACAGAGATCGATATATCGAAAGATGGAGTTACATAAATTCCTGCCAGGTCGAAAGTGCTCTACTTCGCCGCCAGCTTCCATTTCGATGGCGAATGGTGAGCACATGTATGGTATTTGAGTTTGACGCGTTTCTTCAGGTTCCCTATTTGATCGGTCGGACGTGCTTCCTCGTGACTCTTATACTCTCGTTAGTGCGTCTACGACAATACTCGGTGCTATCAACCATTGCAGACGTGTTTAAATCTCTGGCGGTAGGGCGTTCGCTTGTCATATGACTTCTTTCTTTTGATATTCCTCCCAGTTCTCAGGTAATATCGTTGTAGTTTGTACATCCACGAACCTTGTCATCCGTTTCCTGATGAACCATTCACCTTCTGATGTTTACTTTGATAATGCCGTACTTGAAGGGTGACTCGCTGTGCAGAAATATGAATAAGAAGAGGTGCATCAGCAAACTACAACTTTTTACTAATGCAAAGCACTGGGCTTTCCATAGATTACTGTGTCATTCGTGATTCGTTGTGATCCATTGTCAACACTGAAGCTGCTGGTTCATGTCTGCCACTGTCCAGAGGTGAGTGTCTTCTTTCTGCGCGAAAGAATACCGTTATCATGCACAGGTCAACAGCCAGTTTTCTGCGCGATTATCACACCGATCCGATAATAAAAGTCAAAACAAGTACAATGGAGCTCTCCGTCATTAATTTATTACTCACTGAATAAGATATCTTATTTGTGAGCCCTGGTACACATTTATATATTCTCACTGACGGGATCCTATTAGTCGTCAACCATGCGCTAGAGGAGATATCTAAAGCCCTCGGGTAATCCTAGAACTTGCTCTTCGGCTTGAGCAGCTTTGTTACACCGGGAAAGGTGTTCCCTAAATACCCAGAACATCGCAATGGACACGACACTTGCCAAGATGCAAATGAGATACGAGTTGACGTATGAAGGACCCCAACTGGACGGCCAAAAGTATCTGCGACATCGTCAGTACCAGCTACAGCACGAGGTCGCTGTGAACTGACGGTGAAGTAACGTTGCCAGCTGATGCCATGGTGTTTATTAGTGCAATGGCTGCAGCGCGTTTAGACTGTGATTGGGAAAAGGTATTCATGGCCCAGGTCAAAGAGACAGCAAAGGCCACTGGACTCTGAGCCATGAGGAATCTGCGTGGAGCACGTGAACCTGTGTAATCACAGAAGGAGGAAAGAAAGGCTTCCCACAGTGACAGATATCGCATGCCCGTATTCATTGTAGAAATTGCAATGATAAACCCAGCCATGCCGACGAGTAGAGGGCCGGCAATATGCCAGAAGCGATCACCAGTTATGTCGGAATGCCTTGATTCACTATTGTCAATTCACCTATCGGACCTATGTGAGGTAAATACTGACCTGGCCACGACAAACGAGGTCGCAGTCCCCAAAATCCACGGAGGTGCGCAGAGAAAGAGGCTTGTCGTCGTGCTGTAACCCATTGTAGCGGATAGTGTCGGAAAAAAATAGGCGAATGATGCCGAGGAATCGACCAAATTAAGAGTAACACCAAGCCACCATACCCTCCAATCCATAAGAGCCTCGGCAAGGCCAGAGGAGTTCTCTTCAGGCTTGCCTTCGTGCACAATTTTAGCCACAACTTCTTCTTCCATCCGTTGTTTGGCCAGTATCTGTTCATCGGGCAAAAGCCAGACGCTCGGCGTTGAAGGAAAATCGGGTAAAATCCAGATTGCACACACTGCAGTGGCGATGGTCAAAGCGCCCTCCACGAAGAAGAGCCACCTGCAGCAGAAAAGTCAGGACAAATTTACTTTTTGAAAAGCACGCGCATTTCAGCTCAGACCTCCAAGCCGTAAAACCTAATACACCGTCTAGGCTTGCTAAAATTCCTGACGCAATAAGAGCACTAAAAGCATAACTGACGGAGAGGCCGCAATAAAGAAATGCTGTGCGTAACCCTAGTTCATCGCGCTTGTACCTAGAGGAAATTCAGTACATGCTGTTGAGATGTATTGGGATATTATACCATCGTGAAAGAAGAAATACAGCTCCGGGAAAGAATGCCGCCTCTACAAATCCAATAAAGAAGCGCAAAATAAGAGCGGCATGATATCTAGAGTAGCGTTAACAGTGGACAGCATTAAGAGGTCTAGATACCAACGTTTGTACCGCACCTTTCATGATCCCTCATCAGCCAATGTCGATCAAGTGAAAGTCGTGTGACGTACTCATACACATGGTAATAGCAGCCCATGTTATCATACAGCCCGAGAGGTATAATGATGGCCTTTTCATGTGGTGTAAGATCATGTTGCTTGCAAATTATTAGATATGCCGCAGGACGACAAGGTGTTAGTACATACGAAGGAGCCTGCGTGAATAGATACCCCACAAAAAGGATGCTGGTGAGTGTATTAAATTGATTCCCCGTCATTCCAAGGTCCTCTTCGAAGTCACGCAGCCTCGCTGCACTTGTAGGTGGTTAAGCCATTTTATCCCAGATGTTTTCGAAGGCCCACTTACGCTATATTAGTACGGTCCATCTGCGCAGGCGTTTTAGGCAGTCACGAGACAATAAGTGCGCTGACGACTCACGATGTTCATAATGTAAACCAGAACTAGAAAGGCTACCCGAAGGTCTAACTTACGGAGAAGCCTCTTCTCCACAATTGGTCTATCAATGTCATCTAGAGGCAAAGTCAAACCGTCATCGGTGCTTCCGCTAGGGGCGGCATCGTAGCGGGAACTGCAGTCGACTGAACCAAGCAGGGGAAGTTTTGACATTGCTGTGAATGAGAGAGATTTGAAGCGCCCTGGTGCTGTTAGCTCGCAGTTTTGTATGTCGGTAGCCGAGTAATACAGGACCCTGTGCCGTGGTAGGACTAGTAGAAGTGTCAAGCCTCTTCCGGTTGAATATGATCGTAGCCTAACCGCTCCCAAGTTGATATGAACTTATTCGACCTTTAACGGCACCAGTGATGACACAGCGGGGAAACTGACATCATGATTTCATCACCTTTTGCCGCCAGTGAAATTACATTCGAAAGGTAATCCAGAGTGCTCTGAAACGCTCTAGGCTAGGTGTGGAATGGTCCAGCCAGCTGCCAGGTCCAGATCTGCTTTTGATTGAAATCTTGCAAGAGATAAAATGTTGAAACCCCCGATGTGTCACTAGTTTGACCTGCATCGGGCGAGTGTCAGATGGCCCTGCAATTGAATGGTCCTTTGACAAGTTAGGTTGCAAGTTGTGAGCGTCAATCGCATGCGGGAATTGAAGTCTGGCGCATTGATTGGATGCACTAGTATGCATGGAACATGTAGGCAATTGGAATGATGTACGAAAGAGCCTATCCAGGTCTGGACTCTGCCTACTTCAAAACTGCGACAAAAGGGCGTTCTAATGCTTCATCCCGGAGTCCGTGTCATTGCACTTTGGAAAAGCGAATGGAAAGTGTGTGTTGACTAAGCATTAAAACTTCTTATAAGTCACGGTGTCGTTGATGGTAGTGTAGGCCGCCGGCATCTAGTTCGCGTTCAGTCTTTCCACCCAGACCGAGGCTCGTTTCTCTCTCGCAGGGGCCATTGCAATTAATTGCCCATACTTTGAAGTCTGATCTGTCCATGTGTCGTCAGATACAAATCACCAACTTAACAATTGAAGTCTTCTAGATGCTCTGTGGCACGTCTCTCGAATCCTTTGTCATGATGTTTGAGCTCAGAGCGCTCATGACTAACGTGACAACAGGGACAGCAAAGTTCACACTAAACGCACCAACATGTGTGCATGTGACCCCCAAACTGGTATTTTTTTCAGGGAACTTTGCAACTTTTCAAAGGCCCCACTCATCGTTACTTCCCATGGACCCTTGAGACTGAAAAGCTGTTTCAATGGGTGATGCCGGGACATATATCAAGACTCATCAAGCTTTCCAATCGTTATCATCTCACGCCATCCTCCCTTCCGACAACAGCGTTGAGTGTGTTCGGGGCCTTAAGTGAAAACCTTTCCTGTTCGTTGCGCCTCCCGATATGGTCAACTGGCAAGATTCACAAGTGATCGAGGACTGGAGCGCAGTTCTCGTCGATATTACATTTGTCATGCTAGGATTATACGGGTGTGTTTCTCCTTCATGCCTCCACTGAAGCTCACACAGAGATCGATATATCGAAAGATGGAGTTACATAAATTCCTGCCAGGTTGAAAGTGCTCTACTTCGTCGCCAGCTTCCATTTCGATGGCGAATGGTGAGTACATTTATCGTGTCGTCTATGATTGAGTTTGACGCGTTTCTTCAGGTTCCCTATTTGATCGGTCGGACGTGCTTTCTCGTGACTCTTATACTCTCGTCAGTGTGTCTACGACAATACTCGGTGCTAGTACTCATCCAGTTTCAGCTCCGTGACCAGCGTCGCCATCCCGTCCCATATGGACTGCTATTGTAAGCATCAGAGCAACCACTGCATTCGTTTCCCTTACACTTGTCAACCATTGCAGACGTGTTGAAATTCCTGGCGGTAGGGCGTTCGCTTGTCATATGACTTCCTTCTTTTGATATTCGTCCCAGTTCTCGTGTAATATCGTTGTGGTTTGTACATCCATGAACCTTGTCATCCGGACGTGAGTCTCCCTCCTGTTCTTGGTGGTTACCTGGTCTCATACCACGTTCAAGATGGACTGTTTGGAAGACCAACCGTTTTGTCTGTCTGTTCATGGGGCTCATAATTGTAGGACACTGGTTCATGATGATTCTTAGTATGCATCCCACATCCGTATACACGCCAGCAACCTGACCTCTCACCCCTCCACAAAAACAGACTCAAAAGAAACAAAAATCTCATCATCACCTCCAACTTCCGAATTCTGCGGATTCATGATTGTGAATCCCAGATATTCAGCTGCTACGTCCCTGTACAGTGAGTCCCGGCTGGTCTCGTATCAAAGCACAGTACTTAAGATTCATGACAGCTACGATACTAGACTTTGTACTCTTGAAACTGGCGATCTTCGGCTATTGGCGCTCCTCGTCATTGTCTCTCGTCACGATCATCCGTACCCAAGGCATCATCCTGTATTTCATCGTGTTTTTTGCTAGTGTCCTTCCGGCCGTGCGTTCTTTTCTTTGTCGTGTCGTGCTTGTGCTGAAGTATGTCTAGATCTTTTCTTGGCTGAACCTCAATTGTGAGTGGCGACCACGTGTCCTGAGGCGATGTTGATTGATTGATGGGGTGATATAAGATGTCATGAATTTGTTCTTTGCTTGGCCTGGTACGTCCATATCGAGATTCGATCTTTTTTTGGTGCTCACTGACGGGGAACTGTAGCGACTTGTGTCATGTACGACACCCCTCCCCTCCTCACGCCGACATTTACTCACACTTTTGCATAGGACGATAGCATCAAGCTACGCAGTGATTCCAACATTCCCCACGCCTCAGAGTACAAGCCACAGGTAAGCCATCCGATCCATTCTATCCATGACCACCCTCACGCGGTACTCGTCAGGGCTCCCGTGAATGCGACGGTGGAGAAATCAAACGTGCGGATTGTGAATGCTGTTTTGTCTGAGTGACCACGGCGGGCGGTTTTTCGGCTTAGTTTGGTTATGAAGAGATAGTGTTGGATTCGATCGGGTGGGAAGGTGTTGTAGTACTTACTGCGTTGCAAGTCTTGTACTACCCAAGTCCAACCTTTAAACATGGTTCATGCAACGTTCACAGCACCTTCAAGTTCTTGCTGCGGCGTCGCCAAAACCGATATTCCACTCAAATAAATCAAATAAGAAAAAAGGCAAGGAAAGTCTAAGCAAATACGATGTATGTATGTATGTATATAGCCAACCATAAGACGAGTTGAAGTGAGGTATGATATGATACATGCGTCGACGGAGCGTGAGGGTGCGCGTACTATGCTGGGGATGTGTTGGAGCTTGGGGTCCGAGCTATAAATATATGAGGGAAGGAATGAGGCGGTGGCTAGGTGGCTACGGAATGAACGTCCGCTGTGTATAGTAATAGATGGAATAAACGATCAAGGGAACGTCGTTGTACTCGATTAATGTAACAAGCGCAGGAATCCAATGTCCAGTATAGAGAGAAAGAGAAAAGGAAAAGGGAGTCCTAGTCCAAGCAATAAGAGATACGACGGCCCTAAGAACGATCAACGTGAGGGGCAATCCGAGCGTGCTCCGCTTTACCTCCTAGGCGCGGGGAGATAAGGGAGATCCAAGGTCCTTGATAGCTCGACTCACTGACAACGCGAAGGGCTCTTTTGTCTCTGTCCATTCCCCTGCCCTAGGCTATTTCCTTGTCCATCACTCCCAGCCCACAAGTGGGGGTACTCGCATCCGCCCATTCCTAAAGATGAAGACGGAGACTCGGCGAGCGCTACGATAGGGATCGTGAATCTCTTCCTTGGTGGACCCATGGGCTTCATCGGTGCATCCAACGGCTTGACCTCCATCGTTCCTAAGTCTATCGGAGAGGGCACTGATGATGCGCGGCGTGGGTAGAAATTTGATATTGGGCCGGCAGAGGCAGGCATCGATTTATCGCGCGTAGGTTCACGCATAGAGTTGTGCATATGGGGATAATAGGAATGCTCAGCAGGAGCATCATCCACGTCCGAGTTCAGGATAAAGGCTTCTTCTGGATAGTCGCATTCCAGGTTTGGACTGGTAGTATTGCTATTGGCAGGAGACCCTGGTGGGCTACTTGAGGCGAGAGAGGCAGTTGTGAGAGAGGGAGTGGAGAATTCAGTATCTGATGCGAAGAGGGAGCAGTCTGTGTCTGAGTTATAGCATGATTCTGGTTCTGAGAAGGGGTCCTGGGTTGAACCAGCAGTTGTGCTGTCCAAAAGAGGGATGAAAGCAAAGCGTTTTCGGGGAGGGAGGTTACTCTTTATTATGGGGAGAGGAGAGGGAGTTGTGCGTGATGGAGGGAGAGGAGGAGGTGGGACTGGTATGTTATGTGGTTTAAGCTCTGCTGATTGGATCGGTCTACAGCGTTGCTTTGACGGGGACGCGAATAAGATTGAATTTGGGTGAAGGTCGAGCGCTGGATAACCTGTTGTTGGTGGTGGTGAAGCCGGTGAAGCCGATACTGTTGTTGGATTTAGTGGGAGGAGTGGGATTGGTACGTTGCGAAGAAATACGCCAGAGTAAGGCCTAGATGAAAGTGGGTCGTGACTCTGCTGGGCACGAGGCAGGGAACGTTGAATCATCTTGAGCTCAAGTACGTCCCTATAAACCCCCAAAGGTCAGTATATGAAATTAACAAAGTCGTGTGACTGACTCGTATGAGAGACGTTGTGAGATTTCAGTGGGTGTTCTATCCCACTCATCAGCTTGAAAGACTTGTTCAGTTCCAAATGCGACATGTTTCTTGCAAGTGCCATCGTCCGTGTCAGATTCTACGGGGGTGGCAGAGCCAGAATGCGAAGGAGATTTTAAACAAGATTTCATGCGAGGTAGAGAAGGTCTACAAGTTGAAGGATCGTCGCAGCTGTCGTCAACCTCGCTCATAGTAAAATAGTATTTGAACATCCCATAAACTATAACTTTTCTTCTTTCAAGCCTATCGGGCATGCACGGAAACGGATGATCCCGTGATTTGATCCGTGGTGGGCCACTGGCCAAGCCACAACCAGACCACTTGGCCAGACCACCAGACCACTCCAGACCACCAGAACCCTGAATCCAAGCATTTATTTTGACACTCCAAGCCTCAGGCCTCAACGTTGGCCCGCTGCACATGGGTAATTACCCATGTACTGCTCTAACACCTCACCTTCATTCTTATTAAATTGCCATTGGTTTCTATTTCAGGATCACCGCATGCACCACAACGAGTCACCCACACCTCCCAACGGCTCACAATGCCCACAATATTGATCTCCCGAACACGACCGAAACCAAAACCTTCTCATTCAAAGTTTCATCACTCTGTATCCATTCAAAAATAGAAATAGACCATGGCTTCGAAATTTGAATTGCTTGCATGCCTTGGACCGTTGTGGCCATCGTAGGCTACCTTTCGGTACCGCTTTATCAGCAAGTTGGGTGGGACGCGCTAGTACTCCATGTTCTAGTGCACGCCTGGTTCGGGTACTACCTATACTTGGATCCTGACGACACAGCTCGCCAACCGTTGCAATTTACTTCCGGTGCGTCGCAAACACATCTCTCAATTCAGACTACTCAACTTGGACCCACCCACAATTATCTTTTTGATTCCGATTCAGTCCAACGTCCTTGACAAGGCCAGCGAGGATGCCACACTCCGCACGTCATATCATCAACAACCAGGTGGGGTTCTACTTCTACCGTAGTTACGTTCTACACTTCTACAACGGTGGCGTGTTATACTTCTTGCCAGTGTGATCTTCCACGCTTCTACAACGGTGGCGCCTCATACTTTTACCACAGTTACGTGTGGCGCCTCATACTTCTACTAATGTGATATTCCGTCCTTCTCTCACTAGCATACTATCCGTAAGTAGCTTGCTCTTTACATCCACCACCATTGGTCACCGGTTCACCGGTGTCACCCTCCATCAGATCGGAAACTCCTGATGTCATCATCATGCAATGTCAACAGATGACGCTTGGGATCCTGAATAATACCAATGTGTGGATGGATTTGAAGATGAGAATACAGAACTAAGATTGTTGAAGCTGAAGCTAGCTATCGTAGCGCGCAACAACAGCGATACAAAGCGCCGGTAAGACAGCGCATATCTATCACCTTGCTATCACCGCGGTACTTGCAATAACACATCCTATAAACAGCCAAGTAAGTCCGTTTTATCTAGTTGCCATCAAGCGCCTTACATCTAAATGATTTCATATCTGGGTTGGAAGTTGATACGGTGTTGTTGATATTTTCTGAGCATAGCTGCGGCTGGGATTTGACCTAATTATGGAGTGCCCGTTATGCAGCGACGACAACGACCACGATAACTGCTAATAATATCGATCCCCGACTACAGGACGAAGGTCACCGAGTCGGAGTAACGCTTGAACCCCGATTTCAACGCCGATGCCGACGGGGATGTATAGCCGCTTAGCACTCAGGACTTGGTCGTTGATCACCGGCACCCAGCAGGGCATCCGGATCTATCATACCCCGCACGTCCACATCCGAAGAGCAGAATCCAGACGTCATACTTACACGCGATATTTTTCCCCAGATCGGATACTGTACTAGATCGGAGACCTCCTCGGATGTGACGCGAAAGAACGTGAACGACTGCGTGCAAGAACCTAGCAACAGCGCTTATTATTACACCTGAAACACGGTCAGAAAGTTCCATGTATGGACAGATGCGATGTATATCCCGAGACATTTATGAGTGTATCGATTTTGAATTTGGGCAGCATCTGTCACGGACTGTTATGTGATCACCAGCTGAGTGACTTGGTGTCCGCTTACTGGTAACTGATGATATTGGGGACTTGACAGAATCAGTATCGATAATGAATATGATTCATATCCAGGTCGGAACTTCCAAGTGGGTTTCGTCTAAACTTGAACATGGCACACTGAAACCTATTTTCCAGAGGGTCACCGTGCAACAGCTAATAAAATGATGTCATGGTTATTGAGCTGGGAGGTCCGGCCGGGCCCGACGGATTCAGGATTCCGAGGAGCGACCACTGGAAACTCGGTCGTTAGTCGGGAAATCTGAGTCCGAGTCACTTGGCAGGGCAAAAAGCCCAAGGAGATCGCCCGGAACTATCGCACCCTGCACGTCTACATCCGAAGAGCAGAGTCTGGACGTCATAATCATATTTACATCCCATATACTTTTCAAGATCGGAAATACGTCAGGTGTTCATGCGAGACCCCGTGGATTGTGGTGAATGGAGGTGCGGAGCAAGCTTCATGACTTACTGACGTAGTAACTATAATAACAGTCAGTTGATATGGTCATGCCTCCATGCATCCCCAGGGGGCTTTTATCAATTGGTTGAACGTTAGAAATCTAATGCACCCTCTGTCAGAAAGTTTGTGAGGTTTCTTTTCTCTGACCTGCATGTGTCTAATGGTATCAGACGGAGAATTTGTACAAATAGGTCTCCATAGTCTGCTCTAAAAGGAAACTGTAGTCCAATACACAGTATGATGTATACGAAATGCCAATGAAAACCACTCGGATCCCCAATCTCAGGAGCAAAATGAATCTACAGTATTTCTATCGTCCTGACGTCCATCAAGTCCTGAACAGAAACCACATCTTTGACTTGCGCAATGATATCACGATCCGACGCGACCCTCTTGTGTTCTCCGCCGCGCTGCCGCACTAGTAAAAATGCGCCAAAAGGCTGCCCAAGACGAACAAGTAACCGTAATGCCCGCAATTCTGGATCATCCACCCCCTGTTTGACAAGAGAATGACTAGGTGAGTCATCCGACGGAGAAGGCGGCATCCAATCATCCTCTTCGATCTCTGTATTGTCTTGAAGATCTACAAAGTCTGATAACTCGAGGAGAGACCGATCCCAGGGACGGACGAGCATGAAGGTTTGCTGAGAGGGCCTTGTCCGCAAGAACTGGACGATCGGGTTTTTGGTGGTGATCAGCAGGTCTTCAAGCCCGTCTGCCTTGACTTCAGATCGAGTCTCCTGGGATGTACTATAGCTCAGACTGACATTTGTGACACGGAATATCATGCAAGGCAGATGCAGTCTGCAGTTCGAGAAACGAGCAGCGCTCGTGTTATCAAGCCGGTCGTAAAGTTCCGAAGCCAAATCCACAACCATGGGATTTTGTCGCAGGGAAGAGATGGTTGTCTGAATCTGATCTTCGGATAAAGATGGAAGGGCACCCGGAGGAGTGGCATAAGAAGTGATATAGGCCGGAACCTATGCTAGCAATGCGGATGAGACTGGGTCTATCCCGGACGAGCATCATCCTCTCCGCGATCTAGAACCTGGATACATCTTCCGGGTTGCTATTCCCCGACGTTGCTGAAAAAATCGTTCAGGAATCTTAAATCACGGTCCAATCATTGAAGGCCAAGCTTCCGTTTAGGTAGGATTTACGTTTCGCAGGCATCGTGATTTTTCTTTCTTATTCGATTTTCTTTCTTTTCGTTTGACTGTTCTTCTGTTAATAGGATCGTGGAGGTGGGTGGGTGTATTTTTTCAGGCTTTCGAGACGTGCTACTAATGATTGGACTTGAATGCATAGCCTGCCAGACAGCAATTTGCGGATCATGATTCAACTTGTCGCGGTCCCACTCACAAAGAGTTCTAAAGGACAAAGGGTAGTACATTGGGAAGTGTCGAGACTTGGAGCATGAGTTGAACTGGGGCACTCATGCATGTCAGTGTGATGAGGTGATCGGGCATTAGTCTAGTGGTATCGGACGGCGAAGAGGTGCAGCCATGGTCACTTTGAAAGGAAACTGTAGATACATACACATGTAGTATGATACATAGAAATGAAAACTGCCCGGATCCCTAATCTTTGGGGAAAAACATGCATCTACAGTATTTCTATCGGCCTGACGTCCATCAAGTCTCGGACAGAAGTCACGTCTTTGACTTGCGCAATGATATCACGATCCGACGCGACCCTTTGATATTCTCCCCCACGTTGCCGCGCTAGCAAAAATGCTCCAAAAGGCTGCCCAAGGCGAACAACCAACCGCAATACTCGCGATTCTAGATCATCCACCTCCCGTTTTACAACAGAACGGCTAGGTAAGTCGTCAGATGGAGACGAGGGCGGCGTCCAATAATCCCCTTCGTTCTCCGAATCGTCTTGCAGATCTGTAAAGTCTGGTAGCTCAAGGAGAGACCGATCCCAGGGACGGACAAGGATAAAAGTTTGTTGAGTGGGCCTTGTCGGCGAGAATTGAACAATCGGCTGTGCAGTGGTGACCAACAGGTCACAAAGCCCGTCTGCCTTGACTTCATATCGAGTCTCCTGGGATGAATCGTAGCTTAGACCGACCTCTGTGACACGGAATACAACGCAAGGCAGATGCAATCTGCAGTTCGCGAAACGAGCAGCACTCGTGTTATCAAGCCGGTTGTAAAGTTCCGAAGCAAACTCCACAACCATGGGATTTTGCCGCAATGAAGAGATAGTTGTCTGGATCTCATCTTCGGACAAGGATAGAAGGGTGCGTGGAGGAGTGGCGTAAGAAGTAATATAGGCCGGAAGACAGCTGTTGAACTCGGAAGCTTGTCCAATCCAGTCGAGGACGGTGATGTCTCCCGACCGAGCCACGATCTCCTGTAGGAGTCGCCCGAGCGCGTTCTGCTTCTTCTCGCCATACATGACAGGTAGGTGGACACCGAAGATACCAAACAATGAGTACGCGACGTCTTCTTGCAATGTCGTGACACGAGATGACGCCCATTGAAGTCTCTGTCGAGCGTCGCTCATCCCAGGACGAAAGGATATCAAGGTCCGTGCATCTATTCCTGTCGCATCCTGCAACTCCTTCATGATTGCAGGGGACTCTTTGTGGTTGGAAGAGCGATCGTCGAGATACAATGACCAATCTTTC